TAGAATAATTTATGATTCTTGAAAAATGAAACTGCTAAAATCATAGAAAATTAATTTCTAATTGGAAATCTTTTATATTGTAAAACATAAAAGTATTGTTTTATCTTTGCAGGCGGAAAATTTATTCTGCTAAAAGCTCATAAATGATTGATTCAATTCTTTATTGTTCGGGATTTTTATGCTACTATTCAAATTTTAAAAAAGTTAGCAATACAATTTGTCATCAAAATAACGCATTTTTACTGTTGCAATATTAGCTGTGAAATCAATTTCTGAAATTCACATTGTGTTTCATCAACTTTTTCTGTTTATTATTAATTTGCATGTTAAATTAATTAAAACATTAAAAAAAATAATTTCATGCTACTAATAAGCAGAAAAAATGCAAACGAAATTCCTATAAATTTGAGGATTTATTTAAGCAACAATACAATGTGCTCAGAAATGATTTAAATTAAAGACAAAAAGGTCATTGTTGGATTAAAGTCTCAACTGGTGAATATTTCTCTGGTCAATTTCATTCTAATCGATAACCTCAAATTTATAGAAATAATTATCTCGTTGCCAGAATTGAACAATATTTGCTTAGTAAATTATGCATTATTTACTGATGCATTCTTCTCATTCGCATGCTGCTCACGACATTTTGCAAATCTTTGTTGAAATTTGCTTCCACACCAATCTCATTTGAAATTTGCAAGCCTTCCAAAGTTTATTTTTTCCAATTTCGTTTAAGCACATTAACTCTTTGCTGTAGATATTTTTGTTTTAAATCCAATCATTTATAGTGACCGATCACCCAATGTACGCCACTGATAACTACCGTTAACTTATGCTACTGATAGTAATTAGAGGGATTATTACGCATATTAAAATGTTAAGTTTAATTTCGAAACCTAACTTCAAAACAAATCATAATGGATGAATTTTTATCTTCCAATTCTTTTCCAGCTTTTTTTTTTCACTTCATAATTTTTTTTCTTTTGTGATATTTGCGGACAAATATAACTCATTCATTTGTCTATTATTAATGCTTTAAAAAAAATTTTAAATTTTATTGCATTTAATTTACATATTAAATTACACAATCATAAAATTTGATTTGTTAGTTTTCTTCAATTCATATTTGCAAAATAAGTAAATTGGCTGAATGACGGAAATATTCCGTCAATATTTTAGCCTTATTTTCGTTTCCATTCAAAAGTCGGCACTTCGATGAGGCTGCCAAAAAGAACGATTTATCGTTTATTTGAGGAGAGATGCGCAGGTACCGATAACAACGCAATGTACTGCCATCAATTCTTCAATTCAAATGTTTTCATTCATCTCTCCCACTTCAACATTTATTCCTCTCTCCCACCCTCTCAATACCGAACTTCTCTCCCCATCGTGGAATTTAAAATGCGCCAAAAAAAGAAATTATATTCTTTTTGACAAAATTACTCTTGACAATAATTTTGCTTACAATTTTACATAATTGTTAGCTATGATTTATTGATATTAATATTCATTAATAGTTCATTTCCCTTTTTCAATCATACATTTCAATACAGCTATTTATCATTTTTAAAAATGACATTTTGATAAAAGTGAGAGAATTTTTTAAATTATCAAATTTTTTTTTCGTTTCCAAAGAGGCATCCAATTATTCTTCTTCCTTCTCTCCAGGCCTGTAACACTTCACTTTCACTCTCTCTGCACATTTTTCACTTATTTTCGTGAAATGTCTCACAATCATCGTCTTCCGTTCTGTTTGCTCTTGCTGGCTATTGTGTTTGTTTTGTATATCCGCATCTATCAATCATCGATCCGTCTCGATCGGCTCCACCTCTTCAGTTGTCACTCATACAGTGATCGCAATGTCTCTCTCTCACGTCGTGCACCCATCCATCCATCTGTTCCTAACCGTACCAAATATTCCTTCTTCTCATCAATTTCCTCTCATATTTCTCTCACATCAAACACAGCTTACATTTGACCTCTTCATTTTTTTTTTTTTTGTTCTTCCATGGATGCATTTTAAAATTGATTCGAAAATATTTTTGGATACTAAATAGCTGATAGAATTATTTCGACTTATCAAATAGTACTGGATTAATTAATTTGTGAGTTTTAAAATAGACAAATTGAAAATATACAAATGTACAAAAATGCAAAATATATTAAATGAAAACATACAAATTGATGAAATTATATCGGAAGACTTCATTAAGGTTTATTTAGAAATATATGAAATCGAAACGTTTTAGTTTTGCATTGTTGAAATATGTTAATTAAGATTGGATGATAAATAGTATCAGTAGTAGGGAAGAAGAATATGCAAATTAGACTTCTGCAAATGACAGATTCATTATTTGCGCATAGCAGTTGGTTAGTGTTCGTCGTAATAAAATTGAGTTTTAATCTGTACTTCTGTTGAATGTTTCTCAATCAAAATTTATGCTAAAAGAATGCTTTTTTAATGCTTTCAGCAA